TACACAGTAACACACAGACACTTACACAGTAACACACAGACACACACGGACACAGACACACAGTTAAACCTCTCACTCCCACAGACAGAACAAACACAGAAGAAGTAAAACCTGATCCACGTCATCCTCTGTGAATTCCTGACTGTCATCACAAGAGACAAACGTTTGATGAGTTATTGAAAACATCAAAGACGTGTTGAATACTAGCCCACACAGGTTTTTGAGGATCTCATGTGGCTCACAGGTGAACTGCAGGTAGAACTGATCCCTTGTCACCCCCCAGCCGGCCCCGACTGCTGCAGCGACCGTTGGGTTAATCCCATTGTTACACAGATTTAGTGCTAAATAAAAGACCTCCAGGAACAGCCAATGGAAAAGGCAGCAGCTAAAGAAGGGTAGCTAAAGTCAGCAGCTGGTTATCGATCTGTATTGAAGGATAAAACACTGAGGCAGCAGAAATGCTGGTTAAATACCAGGACACGTGTACCCGTCCACTCACCTGTCTGTCCTCCACAGGAGCTGGTGACGGAGCTCCACATGCAGTCCATCTTCACTGATGTGGGTAAGCTGAGTCTGAATGATCCGTCTCACAGCGCCCTCATCCCCGGCTCACTGGGGCAGACCTCCACAGCCTGGATCAGTCAGTCCGGAGAGGCTCACTACGCTCTGGCTTCACCTGCTGGAGGCATCATGGTGGTCTCTCTGCCTCCTCAGGACACACAAGGTAAAGACATGGTTCATGTGGTCCCATGTTATTGTTTATTGTTAAATGTTACGCACCAACCGCCACGACAAATTCCTTGTGGGTGCAAACTTCCTTGGCAATAAATGGTTCTGATTCTGATATGGTCTCACAGACAGGTTCACATGGTCTCACGTGGTCCCATATGGTCCCCACATGGTCTCAAACAGGTTCACTTCTGAAAGCTACATGCCTTCACTTGTACACTTATAGGTGTGTGTGTGTGTGTGTGTGTGTGTGTGTGTGTGTGTGTGTGTGTGTGTGTGTGTGTGTGTGTGTGTGTGTGTGTGTGTGTGTGTGTGTGTGTGTTACAGGCAGCATGTCGGTGGTGGAGCTGAAGAGGAGCTCCATGATGCAGAGGTTGTCTGGCTGGATGCCCTCATCGATTCGTGGGGACCAGACAGCTGACCTGGTGCTCAGTCTGGCTGTCAGAGAGCTGGAGGAAGACTCCTTCATCTTCGCTCTCTGTCAGGACCACAAGCTGCGTATGTGGTCCTTCAGGGTGAGACAGACACAGTGAAGATCTACATGATGATGATGTTCAAACAAACTAGTTTAACATGAGGTCATCAGGAAGCTGTTGAATCCTCTTTGATCAGTTGATACGTTGAGATATTTGGTCCTTAAACGAGTCCTCTTCTAATTATCGTGATGATCAAAGTAAAGTACAAGTACTAACAGTACTGCAGCATGCTGACACCTCCAGACCACGTTCTGCATGTTGGTGTCCTGCGTTGCTGCCAGTCTTCTCCACCGATACTCTGTAATATTTCCAGTACATACAGGTAGTACAGGATGAAGTACTACATCAGTAAGAGTACTTGTTGTCCCCCCTCAGGAGCAGGCGTGTCTGCTGGAGGCCGACATGCTGGACTACATGCCGGCCTGCAGAGGACTGAAGCACCAGTCGGGCCAGGGTCACCGTCTGAGGGTTTCCTCGTCCTCCTCCGGCCTCGTTCTGTGCGTCTACCTGTCCGTCCCTCAGAGAGGACAGTTCACCGTCCTGCAGCTGGTCGCCACTGACAACAACCGCTACAGCCTGGACCACCTGTCCTCTCTGTTCAGCACGCAGGTGAGCTGTGATGTCACTTATGTGTGCCGATGTTAGTCGTGGATTTGATCTGACTTTTTGAGTTCAGGCCTCAGAAATGTGTTGGAATGCTCAAAGTGATTCTTAAGATAATATGTTGTTCAAGTTGAGATAAATCACGGCAACACATTTCGTGGACATTAAAGTAACTTTTTACCGTCCTGTGTGTTTGTGGCGCTGAAGAGACATCAAGTATTGTAACTTTTCAAACATGATAATCTCTACAGAAACAATACGTTCCTCACTCGTTTCTGCTTTGGCCCCTTTTCTAAAGGACCGAAATATTCAATATCTCAACCAATTTAAGATCAGGACATATAGTGCGTCCGTCTCTGCTTTTGTCTTCTGTATAACAGATGTAATTAAACTCTGTCTGTCAACAGGAGACTCTGGTGGACTTCGCTCTGACCTCCACAGACATCTGGGCTGTCTGGCTGGACGACTCCAACACCACTGTTGTCAAATACATCAACTTTGAACAGTAAGTCACACGAATGATCTCCAGTAATCTGAGCTGGTAATTAAGACTTCAGAACCCCCGTAACAAGTACAGTCTGTTTTTTTTGTATAGCCCAAAATCACAACTTTGCCTTTACAATCTGTACAACATACGACATCCTTTGTCCCGGGACCTCACATCAGAACTCCCTAAAATAACCTTTAACAGAAAAAAGGAAGAAACCTCAAAGAAACAGAGGAGGATCCAGGATGGACAGAAGTCAAAAGATGTAATGGGAACAGAATTAAGAGAGGAGCTCATTGTGTCATAGGAAGTCCTCCAGCAATCTAGGCCTATGGAAGCATAAATCGGGGCTGGACTAAGGCAAACCTGAGCCGGCCCTAACTATAAACCTGATGAATAGATATACTGGCCAGCTTTAGAATTAAGTCTACATGAGCAGAGAATGAAGTCCCTGCCTTTCTCCGGTTCCCCCTCAGGTAAACACTGTCAGCACTGTTGGCTCTGAGTCAGCCGTTGGCATGTTGAGAGCAGCGTGGTAGAAACCCCTCAATCATAGATATGCTTGGATTTGAAATGTAGTGTCTTGAATGTTAAAATAAGTCTTTTCTGCAGCACATCACTGGCAGAAGACCTCCTTTGAAATTGATTTTGTGTGTTTTCTAGTAACACAGCAGGTCAGTGGAACCAGGTGTTTGTTCAGCCTCCACCTGAAGAAGAAGTCCATATCGGAGTGGACCAGGACCCCAGAGTAAGACAAGTCAGACTGTGACATAAGGAGTGATTTGACACAGCTGAATTTAGAGCTGAAACAATTACTCAAGTAGTCTAATGACAGAAAAGCTCTCAGCGACTAAATTGATTGTAAAATCAATTTAAGAAAAAAAAGAGTTTAAGAAAAAAAGGTTATCCTATTTTGTTCATGATTAAATAATTAATCGGTAATGAAAATAATTGTAAGTTGCAGCTCTAGTTGGAAGAATAATATATATATGTACATTTTCTGTACATTTACTGTGGTATGTTTTTTTCATTTACATTGAGAGTATATTTAGGAAGGTAGTAAAAGAAAAAAATAATTACACATTTTATACAATATAGTATATTATAAGTATAATAAATATAATAAAAGAAAAAAAGAATAAAAAAAATTCAAGATTAGATAAAGTCAAATGATAGAAATGAAGAAACACTAATTGTATATGTGATGTGTGTTGTCACGATAACTGAGCAGACTGTTTTGACATCCATTGTGTCTGGTTAAATACTGTCTGTGTTGTGTGTTAACAGGAGACGTACCTGGAGGTTCTCTTCTCTCCTCTACACTTCACAGCTTCAGCCATAGTTAAAGCTCTACAGGTAAGATACTACCTTCTCTAGTTAAAGCTCTACAGTTGAGAGACTACCTTCTCTAGTTAAAACTCTACAGGTGAGAGACTACCTTCTGTAGTAAAAGCTATACAGGTGAGAAACGATCCGCTGTAGTTAAAGCTCTACAGGTGAGAAACTACCTTCTGTAGTTAAAGCTCTACAGGTCGTCGTTAAAGCTCTACGGGTCGTCGTTAAAGCTCTGAAGGTCAAAGTGTGTTTTGTGTATCAGATCTACCGCAGAGGCTCAGAGAGAATCACTGATCTGTCCTGGGACAGTCTGAAGAAAGAGGTGACCGTGGCTGTGGAGAGTGAGGTACTTTACTGTGTGTGTATGTATGCATGTATGTATGTATGTATATGCGTGTGTGTATGTATGCATGTATGTATGTATGTATATGCATGCATGTATGTATGTATGTGTGTGTGTGTGTGTGTGTGTATGTGTATGTGTGTGTATGTATGTGTATGTATGTGTGTGTATGTATGTGTATATATGTGTGTGTATGTATGTGTGTGTATGTATGTGTATATGTGTATATATGTGCGTGTGTATGTGCGTGTGTATATATGTGTGTGTATGTATGTGTGTATGTATGTGTATATATGTGTGTGTGTGTGTGTGTGTGTATATATGTGTATGTATGTGTGTATATATGTGTATGTATGTGTGTATATGTGTGTATATATATATGTGTATGTATATATATGTGTATGTATATATATGTGTATGTATATATATGTGTATGTATATATATGTGTGTATATATATATGTGTATATATATATATGTGTATATATATATATGTGTATATATATATATGTGTGTATATATATATGTGTATATATATATATGTGTGTATATATATATATGTGTGTATATATGTGTGTGTATATATATATATGTGTGTATATATGTGTATGTGTATATATGTGTATATATGTGTATGTATATATGTGTATATATGTGTATGTATATATGTGTATGTATATATGTGTATATATATATGTGTATGTGTATGTATGTGTATGTGTATGTATGTATATATGTGTATGTATGTGTATGTGTATGTATGTATATATGTGTATGTATGTATATATGTATATATATATATATGTATATGTATATATATATATGTATATGTATGTATATGTATATATATATATGTATATGTATATATATGTATATATATGTATATATATGTATATGTATATATATGTATATATATGTATATATATATATATGTGTATATATATATGTATATATATATATATGTGTATATATATATGTATACATGACATTGGATTTGCAGCAGAAACAACCCTAAACCAACTCAAGTCTTCCAAGAAGATTTCAGAGAGGCAGGTGCTGGAGATCAAGATGGACTGTAAGAAACTCTTGATCACCCTGACTGAGAAGCTGCTGAAAAAGGGTCCAGTGCATCACCAACTGGTGAGAAGCATGCAGTGCCTTGACCCAAGACGCATGGCTGTGTCCAAGGAGCTGTGCGTGCCTCAAATGAGAAGAGTGTTGCACACACTTGTTGAGGCCAAACATGTAGATGAGTCAGTGTGCGATGACATCCTCCGAGAGTTCAGTGAGTTTTGTGACTCAGCTGCTCATCAGGCCAACTTCAGGGAGTTTGACCCCAAGACAGACCGGGTGGACACCCTCCTGTACGAGACAATGGGGTCGAGACCATCATTTTCCAGAGTGTGGGATGTGGTGAAGGTACTGCTTGTCCTGTCTCATGGACAGGCCAGTGTTGAGCGTGGATTCTCAATCAACAAGGAAATGATCGTAGAAAATCAGAAGGAGAAGTCCCTGGTGGCTCAGAGGCTCATCGTCGACCATGTCAGGTCTGTTGGGGGCGTAAACAAGGTAGAGATCACCAAAGAGCTGTTGCTTTCAACTGCAAGAGCCAGGCAGAATTACCATGGGTACCTGGATGAAGAGAAGAGAAAGGAGAGGCAAGGCATTGACCTGAAGAGAAAGGCACTCACAGATGAGCTGGATGACTTGAAAAAGAAGAGGGCAAGAATGGAGACTGATATTAGCGCACTTCAGAAATCAGCAGATGAATATGCTGAGAAAGCAGAAGCTACAAGCAAACTGACCATCACCAAATCCAACAGCTTCCGCCGAACTGCAAAAGAGAAGAAGGTATCTCTGCTGGAGATTGAAAAGCAGATAGATGCGAAGCTTGCAGAAATGAAACGCTAAGCTGGCAAGTTCAGTTAAGGTCCCGTGGACAGTAAGGCACAAGAAAGCACTTTTTTTTTTTTTGCTCTCATTACAACTTGGTCAGGTTGCCACTAGCTATTCTCTCTCACTAGCCTCTCAAGGGGACAGAACTGTCTGTGTCTCTCTCTCTCTCTGTGTGTGTGTGCGTGTGTGTGCGCGTGTGTGTGTGTGTGCGTGTGTGTGTGTGTGTGTGTGTCAGTCAAACACAAAAAGAAAGCACTTGTTCTGCGAATGTTGTTTTATAAACCTGTTTAAATGTTAAATAGTTTGTTGTTTTATGGTCAAAGAGTTAGTTGCCAACTCAACATTTTGTTAAAATTTGCACTACAAAAGGGAAAGCAATGTAGTAGCTGGATGCTACCTACTAAAGCTCTTATTGATGTGTCAATGTTATGAATACCTGTCAACCAGAGTATATTTATAAATGTTTATTCTCTTAATCAAACTATTGTCTCTCATTCATTTGTGTCATTTAAGGTATACTGTATGCTTGAAATCTCATTGTTAGTTTAAATTCGACATTTTCTCACTTTTTCAGGGATTACACGGAGATTTCACAAAATGTTTGGTCATGGAAATTTGATTTAAAGTCATGGAAATCCATTGGTCAAAATGTGTATGAACCCTGAGTTATATAAATGTAAAATATATTTAAGCACATTTGTTATAACTTAAATCCTTTTAATTTAGGGTTGGGAAACCCACATTACTCTATCAAAGATCAAACTATTAAAGAAAATAGCAAAGACAAATATCAAACAAGTTATTACAATAACTTTGTTCAAAGCTTAAAATCCTTTCAAGGGTTTGTTTGCACAATCCCACGTGAAGTATTTCATCTGTTGTAAAGCCATGTTTAAAGTAGTCTTCAATGTACTCACAATACATTTCATGTCAAGTGTACAGTGTTTAAGTATCTCATAATTTTGACTGTCTATCTCAGAATTATGACTTTCTATCATAGTTATGACTTTCTATCTCATAATTTTGACTATGGGGATATTTTTATTATCAAGTCTAAATTTTTTTTTTTTTTTTTTTTTGCTGGCGGATTCGCGGGCCACATAAAATGACGTGGCGGGCTGGATTTGGCCCGCGGGCCGGGAGTTTGAGACCCCTGTATTAAATCATATTTGTTAAAAACTGTTTGCTCTGCTTCTTTCAACACAATAAATATATTAATAATAATGTCCTCCACCTGTCTCTCCTCCTGTCTGTCGTCCTCTGTTTCCCTTTAGCTCCAGAGCAGTGTGACAGAGTTTGAGTTTTCTCAGGAGGAGTACCGTCAGCTGCAGGTTGAGTTCTGGTCTAAGTTCTACGCCTGCTGTCTTCAGTACCAGGAGGTCCAGTCTCTTCCTCTGGGTCTCACTGTGAACCACAACACAGGGCTGGTCTGTCTGCTGAAGAAGGTGATCTACGTTATTGATCAGGGGGATCTGGGTCTGTTGATCAGGGGGATCTAGGTCTGTTGATCAGGATCAGGGTCTGACCTGCTGTTTGTGTTCCAGGGTTTCGTGTCGTTCCTCCTGCCGTGTTTCGCTGTGGATCATCTCTACCTGTCTTATGACGAGTACCTGTTCTCAGAGGACGAGACCCCCATCACTGAAGGTCTTATAATAATCTCACTGTAGTGATCAATAAGTTCACTGTAACACAACAGAGACGGGATGCAAGACTGTGTGTTGATGTGTGGTCTTCATGTGGACCCCCAGACCCCGATCTGGGCCGTGACGTCCTGCAGCTGGTTCAGTGTCTGCGGCTGGTCAGTGATGCGGTTTCTGGAGAGATGGCCTATGAGATGGAGAAAGCTCTGGAGCACCTGGAGTCACCTGAGAGGGCAGCAGACCTGGTCCTGGAGAACCTGCTGTCCAATGACGAGTCAGTGGTCTGCTGTTAAGATCAATACTGTTATCAATACGATCAATCAATGAGATCAATTAAGAGTATTTTAGAAGACTAATCCGTTGTTTCCTGCAGTGAGAACGTCATAGAGGAAATCCAGAACAAACTGCAGGACATTCGGAACCCGATGGCGGCCATGATGGTCCTGCTGAGGGAGCTGGACCTCGAGACGGACTCAGACGCGGGGGGGGAAGGACCCGTCATACCTGGTGGGACCCTTAAGACTTCTGGTTCAGACATACAGACCCTTATGACTCCTGGTTCAGACATACAGACCCTTATGACTCCTGGTTCAGATATACAGACCCTTATGACTCCTGGTTCAGATATACAGACCCATGTGGACTCCTGGTTCAGATATACAGACCCATGTGGACTCCTGGTTCAGATATACAGACCCATGTGGACTCCTGGTTCAGATATACAGACCCATGTGGACTCTGGTTCAGATATACAGACCCATGTGGACTCTGGTTCAGATATACAGACTCATGTGGACTCCGGTTCAGATCTACAGATTCCTGTGGACTCCGGTTCAGATCTACAGACTCATGTGGACTCCTGGTTCAGATCTACAGACTCCTGTGGACTCTGGTTCAGATCTACAGACTCCTGTGGACTCCTGGTTCAGATCTACAGACCCATGTGGACTCCTGGTTCAGATCCTCAGACTCATGTGGACTCCTGGTTCAGATCCTCAGACTCCTGTGGACTCTGGTTCAGATCTACAGACCCATGTGGACTCCTGGTTCAGATATACAGACTCATGTGGACTCTGGTTCAGATCTACAGACCCATGTGGACTCCTGGTTCAGATCTACAGACCCATGTGGACTCCTGGTTCAGATCTACAGACCCATGTGGACTCCTGGTTCAGATCTACAGACTCCTGTGGACTCCTGGTTCAGATCTACAGACTCCTGTGGACTCTGGTTCAGATCTACAGACCCATGTGGACTCCTGGTTCCTGATGTGCCTCTTGTGTGTTTGTTAACCCTGCTCTGTGTCTTGCAGGTCTGAACCTGAAGATCAGCCTGTCTCAGCTGTTGGGCAGCAGCTCAGCGGTGTCTGTGGTCTGTCAAGCTGTCTGTCACCTGACTATGACCAGGACCCTGTTCTGTAGAGACCTGCTGATCCTGCAGAAACTCTATCTGCGTTTTGGAGACAACGTACGAACACGCACGTCACAGTTTAAAGTTTGAACTTGGGCCGCTGGTCCACCTTAACTTTGTGAGGCGATGTCGATGTTTGAATTAACTGATAATACGATTTTGTGTGTGTGTGTGTGTGTGTGTGTGTGTGTGTGTGTGTGCGTGTGCGTCTCTCTCTCTCTCAGGTGTTTCTGGGTGGGGGGGCTCAGCTTCTCCAGCTCCAGCAGGACCTGATCCCTCGGAGCTCCAATCTTCTCTCCTCTTATTACCTCCTCAAACACATCAGTCAGAGCCTGGCCTCCTCTGTCCCCATCGACATCATGTGAGTACACAACCATGTGTACTAGTACACACATTTGGTTTAGTTCATTGTTATTTATTAATTATCCTTTTCATGCTGAGTGACACACTTCAATACGAGATTTAAAGTACTTTAGTGTGATTCTTTGTGGAGAAACTTCGTTTTACAGATCTGTGGATTAAATCAAATGAATAATTAGTCGACAAAACTTTAAGTAGGCCAAAGAAAGTCCGAGAGAATATGAGAAACGCACCGATAGATGTAGAAACTGACTAACATCTGACCTCCTGCAGAGATGCTAACCTGCAGCACCTCACAGTGTTGGAGCTGTCGGACACACCAACCCTCTCCACCAACAGATCAGGTCAGTGTCAATATGAGGTAATGACAGTAACAGACGTGATGTTCAGTGTATTTATGAGGTAATGACAGTAACAGACGTGATGTTCAGTGTATTTATGAGGTAATGACAGTAACAGACGTGATGTTCAGTGTCTATATGAGGTAATGACAGTAACAGACGTGATGTTCAGTGTATTTATGAGGTAATGACAGTAACAGACGTGATGTTCAGTATATACAGTGGGTACGGAAAGTATTCAGACCCCTTTAAATTTTTAACTCTTTGCTTCATTGCAGCCATTTGCTAAAATCAAAAAAGTTCATTTTATTTCTC